GACGACGTTATGCTGACGTGATTCTCACGTCATAGAAGGTACGTCATAGTGACGTCAAAAGATGGTGTGTGACGTCTCTGACGGAAAATCACCAATAAAGGACGTCACAGTGACGTGATCATTCGTCATATGGTTGCCTGGGCAACGTATCGAATCATCAGCGTCCCAACTTATCAATGACCCAATACTTCAACGGTCAACTCTTTAATGATTCAATTAATCGACGGTCAAGTCATCAACGAGCCAACCAATCAACGACCCAACTCATTAACGTTCGCTCATTAACGACCAAACTCATCAATGATCCAATTTATCAACTCAATTCATGAATGATCATCATATCAACAAATCGACTCACCAACGTGAACTCATCAATGACCCAACTCATTAACGTTGCACCTCATCAACGATCCTGAATATCAACCAACCGAACTCATGAATAGATCTACTCATCAAGACTCAACGAGTCTACTCATCAGCAGCACGTTCCACAAACAATCTACCTCATGAACGACCGAACTCAAGAACGAGCGAAATCATTAACGATTCAACTAATCAACGAGTCCTCTCATCAACGGCTTATCTCATCAACGAGTCAAATCATCGACGACTCAAATAATCAATGACCCAACTCATCAACGACTCGACTCATCTACGATCCAATTCATCAATGACACAACTCATCATCGGCTGAAATGATCAACAGAGAAATCGTCAATGAGCCAAATCATCGATGACGTATTTCATCAATAACGCAATTTACTAACCACCTAAATAATCAACAAAATAACTCATCAATGATTCAATTCATCAACGACACGAGCGAAATCATTAACGATTCAACTAATCAACGAGTCCTCTCATCAACGGCTTATCTCATCAACGAGTCAAATCATCGACGACTCAAATAATCAATGACCCAACTCATCAACGACTCGACTCATCTACGATCCAATTCATCAATGACACAACTCATCATCGGCTGAAATGATCAACAGAGAAATCGTCAATGAGCCAAATCATCGATGACGTATTTCATCAATAACGCAATTTACTAACCACCCAAATAATCAACAAAATAACTCATCAATGATTCAATTCATCAACGACACGAGCGAAATCATTAACGATTCAACTAATCAACGAGTCCTCTCATCAACGGCTCATCTCATCAACGAGTCAAATCATCGACGACTCAAATAATCAATGACCCAACTCATCAACGACTCGACTCATCTACGATCCAATTCATCAATGACACAACTCATCATCGGCTGAAATGATCAACAGAGAAATCGTCAATGAGCCAAATCATCGATGACGTATTTCATCAATAACGCAATTTACTAACCACCTAAATAATCAACAAAATAACTCATCAATGATTCAATTCATCAACGACTTGACGATCAACACATCAAAGACTCAACTCATCAACGGCCAATTCATCAACGACACAACTCATCGACGATCCACCATTTCATTGACCTATAATAATCAACCGATCCAACTCACCAACAGACCAACTCATCAACACCCAACCCATCAACTGATCACGATCCTCCTGATAAACTCATCTCAACTGTTCAACGGTCAACACAATAAAGCGCCGGGAGCTCATCAAACAGTCAAATAATTATTGACCTAACTAATAGATCAGTCACTTTATCGACGTTCAACTCATCAACGACTCAACATATCTCGATCCTCTCAATCAACGCTCGCACTCATCAACGAGTCAGAGCATCGCATTGACCCAACTAATCGACGATTCGATTCGACAACGACTCAACGCATCAAAAGTCAACTTTTCAATAGCCCAACTCAATAACGTTCCAATTCATTTACGTTTCAATTCATTAACGATCAACTCATCAACGAGTCAAATCATCAAATACCTTACTCATCAACGACTCATTTGATCAACGGTCAACTAATCAACGACTCAAAGCATCAACGGTCAACTCATCAACGAGTCAAATCATCAACGATCTAACTCATCAACGACTCATTTCATCAACGGTTAACTCATCAATGACTCAACTCATCTCGATCTTCCTAAATAAGGACTCTACTCATCAACGACCCATTTTATCAACGACCCGTTTCATGAACGATTCAACTCACTCACCAACCGACAAAACTCATCAACGGTCAACTCATCAATGACCGAACTCATCAACGACTCAACTCATGAAAGATCCAATTCATCAACGATCTACCTCATCATCGACCTCAACTCACTCAACTCATCAACTGAAAAAACTCATCCAACTCATCAACACCTAACTCATCAGAGTATAAAATTATCAACGGCCCAACTATATGGGTTGAGGTGGCAGAACTATTTTTCACTTTTTATGTTCATCTTTTCTCCTTGGTTTTCTCGAAGATTTTCTGAAGCCAATTATTATTGAATTATTATCTTCCACACCGTCTGCGTACCACTGTCATTCTTTTAAATCAGTATTAACGTACATTTTTTGAAGAATATCACACCTTTTGAATATTGAAACACTTACAAAACAAACGGAAATTGTAGGTAAGAATTTCTGGCTGATGTAATTGTTAGATGGTTATTAAATATGATATAGAAATGAGGTATCACTTTGAACGTTATTAGGTAATTGGAGGTGATGCAACGGTTGAGTTGGTCAGTTGGGTCAATGAGTGTAGTTCATTATTTATCAAATTAGGAAGTTGATGAAATGGATTGTTGACGAGGTGGGTGTTGATTAAATGGGTGTCTTGGTGAGAAAGGTCCTTGATATGTTGAGTCGTTGATGAGTTGGGTGTTGACGAACTGGGCCGTTGATTAGATATGTACTGTTGATAAGCAGGGGTCAACCCTAAAAGTATTCATCATTTACCTAAATAATTTATTCTCACTACATATTCCCAACCAGTTGCATACGTAGACCAACTTGGTCTTCAATTCCATTTTTTTTAACTCAACTACAGAATTGAAGAAAATGTATCCGAAAATTATGCTAGCAAAATAATATGTTTGCATTTCCGCAATTCATGTCCCATCATTGTGACCATAATTTCACCTCTGAGGCTCATTAGGGTACGGTTTATATAATAATCATATGTATTAATATCACCAAAACATGGCAACACTGTCGGGACACACTAGGAACGGTTCATATAAATTCGTATATAATTGGGCTCCACTACGTAGCGAAAGTATAATTGGCTCAACAACGTGCGAAAAACATATAAAAATATTCAAACTTTTGAAATCCTTTCCCCTCTAAGTGTCCCATGAGAGACAAAGATGAGAAGATATAAATATCCTGACATATACTCTTCTAACTGCACAGGAAAGGGTGGGCTCAAGAGCGCCCCGTTCATATGACGGGCTCAACAATATACCGTTTACACCTATATATATACATATACATATACATATACATATACATATACATATACATATACATATACATATACATATACATATACATATATAGAGGAGAGGATTAGACGACTGTCTAAGTTAAGTTAAGTTATATTTACCGCAGCAAAAATGCTTTGCAAGTTTTCTCGACTAAAATCAAATATAATGTAATAATTTTTATCAACTTTCAAAAATATTGATGTTTTCATGTTGTGAATGTTCTTTTACACATGTATTATTCCCCACTTAATGGAAGCCAGCTTCAACAAAACCTCATTTTCCGTAAGTGTTTTATAATCGATAACAAGGATTAAAGTTCCATATCAATTTTAATTGTTTTATAGAGTTCCTGATGAAGAGCCAATAAAGACTCGAAAGCTTGAACAGAAACAAGAGTACACTTTGTTTTTCTTTGACTGCATACCCGAAGGAAATCGACAGTTTCATCCTATACATATATATATACATATACATATACATATACATATACATATACATATACATATATATATACATATACGCTATACATACCAACTAAACCCTGAATTATGATCGATTGCAACTGGTTCGGACGAGGGTTCGGATGATCGGGATCACTCTAGATCCGCGATAAAATTCAGTCTAATGTGCAACTTTTATATGGTGGATTTTTGGTGAATCATTTTATTTTGATGCATTCTATACCCTATTGAAGTTGAATGATATGCCCTAAATTCCACATTTTGTGAACAAACCTGATATATATTTGGTTAGCAATGAGTATCAGGCATTTCTGAAAATATCATTCAGGATTGCCCAATCTGGCCGTACTACTTCAGGAGAAAAGACCTGTATAGGTTTTTATAAGGAGAATACCCATGCAGATTCCGTTTCGTTTTTGATATTCATGAAATATCAGCAATACCAATCAGACGAACTGGACAAGCCCAATCAGCACATCCCTTCGTTGTCAACCTCGAAAGATGTCGAACAGCACTTTATCAAGACTCCTTCATCCATAGAACGGCTAGGCTCTGGAATTCATTGCCTGTGGAAGTATTGCCAACAACATATAATCTCCAGAAATTCAAAAAAAATTCCAATACCTACCTCCTGTCCCTATCCTCCCTAGGAACGCATGATGTTCTTTGAACATTATAGGGATTCCCTTTCGTGCGCTCCAAGCGATAAAAAAAGATGACTTTCTCTGTGCATTTATCACTGCGACTAAAATCAGGTTTTCGACATCAGACTATCGTCATCCAAAGAAGATCTCTAACCAAATATGATAATTTGCTTCCTTCAAGAGCTGGATCTATCAGCTTATATATGAATATGTTTGAACTACAATATCTCATGATAGGATTGCAGTGGACAGCGTTGTAGACCCACTCACAGAGAACTTTACCAAATATTTAACAACTTTCGACGCATCATAATTTGCAATGAAAATCAGTAAAAATTGGTCAGCAAGTGGAGTTCCTAATTACAATGTGGAAAAATCAATAGTTATAGAAGTTCTTCGTCTATTGTGTCTATGTCATGCACATCATCTACCATTATTTCACAAAGTGGAAAGCCGATGAAGATTTCGCTAATTTGGTCTCTTTTTGTCTTCCAGGGTTGGAACGAATCGCTGAGGAGTTGATGGGCCGTAGGAAATGGAAACTGTACCAAGAATCCATGTCGAGGAGTTATCTGCAACCGCTGAACAACAATATAAAGAGAACAAACATACCGGAAAACGACCTAGACCACAAAGAGACCAAACAAAATCAACAGAATCGCGAAGAAGCCCCAATTTCGGGCATCAGAGAAGAGGCGAGGGAGGGAAAAGGAGAGACGGAAGAGGAATACCAAAAGGAAAACGAAAAAAGTCGCGCGTCGCCAGAAGAGAGACTGAAAGACTGGCAGCCGGAAATAACGAAGTGTTACTTTTGTGTCGACGGCAAACTGGATACTCTGGATAGTGATCAAAATAACCACGGGGTTTTGGTAAGTTTCGGAATACCTTTCTTCGTTAATGTGATAGTGGTCTACCGAGAAGAAAACTATGACATATCATCATATTTACGCTAGTGATTCTGAAGAAGTTAGAATTGTCAGGAAAAAACGACAGATCTGCACAAGTTTCGAATATCACAATGTTAATAATCAATCATCAATATTGCAATATGCGGAGTAATTTGACCGATCTGCATGCACAAACTCCAAAATGTGAATACTACTTCTTTTCACGAAGAGAAAGCATATCGAACTATTCTGCCATGTCTGACTGGTCGGAAAATCGTGCTGCCAAGTCCCAAAATAGTGAATACGAATTTATAATGTTAAACAAAGTCCTATGATACCATTGCCACCTTGAAATTGTCCGAAAAGATTCCTGCCCAGCCATGTTCCGAGAGTAAAAATTGGAAAATTCAACCAATGTGGACAAGCTCCAAACTTTGCACAAAACATCGTGATGGTACAAAAGGTTTATACGAACTATTTTGCCAACCTTGTTCTGCCAAGTTATTTTCTGGTAGAATAATCTTGAAAATTCGGCCAATTCGCACAAGCTACAAATTTTGCACACTTCGTAATTACACGGGAAGCTTATGCAAACTATTCTGCCAGCTTGAAAAGGTCCGAAAAGTGTTCTGCCTAACAAGTTTTGGATATTGACATCGGCTTGGATTACGGCTCTATCTGTAGAGAGAGCACAGGATTGAGAGAAAAAATATACACTATTGGAAAAGAAGGTAACACAAATATGAATCAATGGCCTTCGTTGGCGAGAGAAAAATTGGCTGCTCGGAAATGATTGTTGAAGTTGAGCTGAGCAAATTGTTAAGTTGAAGCTATGATATTTATATACTCTGTATGTATGAATGTAGCTCAACTTCAACACTTTCCCTTGTTAAATGAAGATATGAGATCATTTATGCAGGATCACAATAGTCCCATCTGATTGCATAACACTTGTAGACGTGGCCTTGGTAAACTCTTCGTCATAATGTCTGCAACCTGCTGTTCAGTTGGAATTTGTTGGAATCCCAATGTTCCTTCGGTTACTTTTTCCCTTATGAAAAAATGTTTGATTTCTATATGTTTAGTTCTGCGGTGAAATTCGGGGTTCTGAGCTAATCTCACTGCTGCTGAATTATCAACTTGAAGAACAGGAACGTTCTTTAATTTAATGATTCCCCCGAATAATCTCGCCAACCATATGATTTCTTTGGTTGCTTCGTTCGCTGCTACGATTTCAACTTCTATTGTAGAGGTTGCTACCATCGCTTGTCTTTGACTAAACCACGAAATTACACCACCTGCGTAACATACAACCACCCCTGATGTTGATCGTCCTGTCGTCGTGCATCCACCAAAATCTGCATCACTGTAGCATTCGAGAGAACCTTTGTTGAAATTGGGACGGTAGACTATACCCAAATCAAGAGTGCCAGCTATGTATCTGAACACTCGTTCCACTCTTGCAATATCTTCTACAGTTGGTTTCTCTAGCGATCTTGACAGAAACCCTACACTGTAGGCTAGGTCTGGTCTGGTTCTAAGCATTAGGTACATCGAAGCGCCAACTGCTTGTCTGTATGGAAAGTCATGAGCTTTCTCATTAGCTTTCCCTGATTTAAATATTCCTGGATTCCTCAGCATTGGCGTGATGATCGAGTTGCAACCAGAAAAGTTGAACCGTTCAAGTATCTTCCTGGCATGTGTATTCTGACTGATTTTGATACTTCCATCCTCTCTGATCAATTTGAAGCCCTAAATAATACATTGCCGACTTCTTGGTGATCTTGAACTCAGATTCCAGCTCTTCAAGAAAATCTTTCAAATCCTTCTTAGCGTTTGCTACTATCAAACCATCATCTACGTATAAAACTATGATCAACTTATTAGTATTTTCTTCTCGGGTATATAGACATGGATCAGCTTCACTAATCACGAATCTTGGTGCCTGTTTCAACCCGTAGAGGCTTCTCTTCAGCTCGCAAACGCAAACCCTATTTGTACCGTCTTCGAATTCCTCTGGCTGATTCATGTAAATGACTTCTTTCAGTTCCCCATACAAAAATGCTGTGGATACATCGAACTGGGCAGGACATGTGACATTATTAAACCTCAGACCATGACATTTTCTCGAAATTCACAACCTCACAAAGCACTCTCAAGGTTGATGCCACTTTGCCTATAATGTGTTAGAAATTTGCATTTATATCTATGTTACAAATTAATTCATCATAACAGTGCGAATTTCTGACTCACTCTGTGAAGTGGTAACCTTGACGAACTGAATCGTTTCATTGTCTGAAAAAGTCTTGGGTATTTAATACTGATTCTGTCCCTATCATCAGATGGATAATTGTCATGGAGGTTTACTATATACTTGTGTAGCTAATTCGAGTCCAAACACAATATGAGTACCTCCAACATGAACAAATTTCATTCTTTTGAGTGCAATATAGCTATAGTGTGTCGATATTCTCTTGTAGGAAGAGTTCCTACAAGATCCTCCAGATTTGTAATGTCCGTTGAGAAGTTATCAACTAAAAACAATGACTCAATAATATAGCTGGACTTCCAGAAAATGTATATTTGAACTCCCAGTTTTTCAAATATTTTTTGCTGGTCCACATAGAAAATGGGTGGCCATGATATTCAATTAGTCACGTGACATATTGAGATCGGATTGGTGATGATGGGTGTTGTTAATCTCGCTTGGTACGCTACATGATATCATGTGTATATCACTGCATCCACTATAATTTTCAATAATGTTTTTTCCCCTATTTCGATATACCCTTAATATATGGCGGCTTGGTGGTCGAGAGCGTGAAGGCGCTGAGTTCGTATGGGGACTCCCACCGAGACATAGGTTCGAATCCTAGTTAGGCCATGGATGTTTGTGTTCGTAGGCTTACCTAACCCCGCACAAGTTTCGACTTATGGGGCGTTTGGTCCCAGTGCTGGGACCAACGAGGTAATGCAATTGAAAAAAAATACAGGGTGGGCCAAATTGAGCACTTTTGAAGGGAAAGTCCTATTCCGGAACAAGATAGAAAAAAACTGATGTCGGTGCCTGTCAATCAATTCACATGACAAACTCAAAGGTGAATACTGCATATCGATATCTATCTTTATTTCAGAGTTGCAAGGTGATTTCCGAAAATGTGAATTTTGGAAAAGTGCCTAAAACTTTTTTTTTTCGCAAGAATCCTTCGTTTTCATGAAAACATTTCCAAAGCATTGTGTGTGTCATGAAAGTTGATCCTCAGGCACTGAAATCAGCCACTGTTTACCTAGTTGCCAAATAAAACTCTTCCTTTTCAAGAAGAACATGTTATATTCTTGAACTAGATATATCAGTGCCTCGAGAACAATTTTCATCACAAACTCAATGCTTTGCAGTTATTTTCATGAGAACAGACAATTTTTGCCAACAAATTATCTGTAGCCACTTTTCAAAAATCCTCATTTTCGAAAAACACCTTGTTACTCCGAAACGAAGACAGATATCGATATGCGGATTCCACCATTGAGTTTTTCATGAGAATCGACCATCAGTTACCGAAATCCGTTTTCTTCAATCTGGTTCCAGAATAGGACTTTCCCTTTAAAAGTGTCCAATTTGTCCCACCCTGTTCAGTCTAATGAGCATGATGATGCGTCCGAAATATTTCCACGCGATTCATTGTGACCAATAAGGACCCGCGGATGAGAAAATACTCAACCCTTCAACTTTGTGGTGGTTCAACAATAGCACAATTCGAACATGAAAAATTTGCATGTTCAATCTGTACCAATTTCCATGTGGTATTCTTCACAACAAAAGTGTGTTCCTATTTTTATACTTCTGGGACAAAACACATCTCATCTCATCTTCATTTTCAAATATCATTTCATGATCTTTCATAAACCTCCTCGACTCCACCTTAAATCCGAAAAGCTATAAGAGACTAGTTGATTTGGCTTCAAAAGAATACAAGAAACTAGCAGTACTAACGACAAAATGTAATTGAACTCACTGTCTGAATTTTGACACGCCAACTGTGTGGTGGGGTATATAATGCATTGGACAACTTACGAGAATAATAATCCATCTTCAAATTACAGTGACTATTCCACTCTGGATCTCGAGAACCAATAAGAATCGACCATTTTCACGGTTTCTTCTGTATTCTAGCGATATTTTTTGTTTATTAAATTTTATCGGACTTGCTCTACCAATACAGAAGCCGAATTGACCTACACGTGACCAACAAACCTCGTTCATCAGCGATAAAATTTTGACATCGTGTCTGGTCAAGATTGCTTTGGATTCAAATCTGAGATAATAACCTAAGTTCCTACTTTATTTTATTTACTAATATTTCGCGTTAGTGAGACATTTTGTACGAAAGGCGAGACAGATTTATTCTGGCTGGACGTTTCATGTGTAATTTAATATTTCTTGACGGTCTGAAACAACGATACTAGAATTCAAATTATCTTCTTCAATTACTCAAGTTATTGTTATTGTTATATGTATTACTACTATAATAACCAGCTGGTGTAGCTCAACTGATAGGGTTGTTGCGCGAAGATACGAAGGTCGATGGTTCGAGCCCATCGGCGACGATATCTTTTTTTAAATTATTTCATGTCACATAAATTCAATTTATTTTGTTTGAATTGGATAGCAATTGTATACACTCTTTTGAGAGCAACCATCTCCAAGATAATAAAAGAAATACTGTTTATCAAAATTGTACATTCCACTTCGTGAATAACTATAAGTAGGTAGTTAATTTCTAAAAAAAAGAATTCTGTATTTCATTACTATCATTATGTTCTTCTTCGCAGTTTGATTGGAATATACTTAAATTATGTTTCCTATTTCTTATATATATTGTCCCATTCAATCATGAAATAGTCATACGAATACAACTCGTGATACTATTTTTCCTAGAAATATTCGTCGATTGACATACTCCAACTTGCTGCTTTAATTTCGC